TGGTCCAGGTTGGCTAGAGTTCTAAACTGCCAGTTGCTGGCATCCTAGGCCTGGAGCATCTTATTTCTTGCCGGGTCAGGGGCCTCAGGGGGCGGGGGCTGTGTAGGGGGTACCCGTACCAGGCCCTCTTGCCTCTTCCCTGCAAACAGACTTGCATTTCATCTCTGGACTCAGGGCAGACATATTTCTCCTTCCTTGACCCCTCCGTCCGCTCTCTGTCATGCCACACTGTATCTCAAGTTCTTGCTTGGCAGAAGTCCCCGTCCTTTTGGAAGTTGGCTTCTGGGGCGGAGGAAAGATAGATCATCAGGCACGTCAGCCAGGGCAGAGGCTAGAGATGCCCTTAATTATTTCTGAGTCACGGTGCTTCCCTTGTTTGGGAGAATGGCTTGTCAAAACACTCTGCCCGTCTGATTGAGATGGTTCCTAAGAGGTGGCTTTACAACCGTTCCCCACACGTCATATTTAGGAGCAGAAATCGTGATGTGTGTTTACAGCTTAGCTTTGCACGTTGTCAGATCTCTTCATCACCCATGAGAGGTGCTAAAGCCTGCCTCCTTCCTCAGGCAGTCCCAGGTGTCTTGGGAACACTCATTCATGCTCCCAGATGCGTCCCCAGCCTCCCTGCCTCGAGACACAGCAAGGGATCCCCAGAGGCAGCCGCCTTACCTGTCAGGGGAGCCGGTGCCGTGAGCAGGGCAGATGTCCACCCCCCGTCTCCGTGCTGGCCCTCGCTTGTCCCTCGAGGTGGCAGGACCCCTGCCCACATCTAGTCCTGTGCTCCTTGGCTTAAGAGGGGGCACTGGTGCTCATGCTGGGTCTCCCCACTGGGAACGTTCTGGGGTCTTGGAGCTCCTCCGGGCAGCTCTGCAGACTCAGAGGAGGTACCTCCCCCTCGTGGAGCAGGTGCCAGGCACCGGGGCCGGAGGTGGTTGGGACAGCTCCGCTGCCCCCTCCCTGCCCCCCTTGCAGTGCTCCTCGCAAGGGATCCGAGGCGCGGCTGACCCCTCTCTCCTCAGGCGGCGGACACATCAAAGAGGTCATTGTGGCTGCTGAGGCAGAGCCGGGGGATGGCGAGATGGCAGAAGCCCCAGGCAGCCCCAGCCGTCAGGGCCCTGGGCTCAGCGGGGAGGGCGAGCAGGCTCAGGTCAAGCTGCTGGTCAACGAGCACGGCCGCTACGTGTGCGTGCTGTGCCACAAAACCTTCAAGACGGTGAGCCCTGGGGCCGCGCGCGGGCCGGCCCTGCGCGGCGGGCCGAGCGGCTGCTGGGGCCGGGCCTCCTCCCCCTCCTGCCCCGGGAGGCGCCTGAGCCCCACTCGTCCCCTCCCCCAGGGCAGCATCCTCAAGGCCCACATGGTCACCCACAGCAGCCGCAAGGACCACGAGTGCAAGCTGTGTGGGGCCTCCTTCCGGACCAAGGGTTCGCTCATCCGGCATCACCGGCGGCACACAGGTGAGCCAGGTGGGGACGGGGGCCGCCCAGCGCACTGCCACGGGCCCTGCTGGGGCCCCGGCCTCTGGCTGGCCGTGACGCTGTGGCTCCGGGCCTGCTTTCCCCGGGGCCTCAGGCTGCTGGCCCTGCCCGGGCCGACTCTGTTCTCTCCACAGATGAGCGTCCCTACAAGTGTGCCAAGTGTGGGAAGAGCTTCCGGGAGTCGGGTGCGCTGACCCGACACCTGAAGTCTCTCACCCCGTGCACAGAAAAAATCCGCTTCAGCATGAGCAAGGATGTGGTTGTTGGCAAAGAAGACGCGCCTGCAGGTCAGCGAGGTGGGGGCTCCCTGCCCTGGCCCTGGCCCTGGGGGCCACCCTGGTTGGGCGGGTTTCTTCAAGGATTCTCTTCGTTCTGCCTTAAAGGGTCTGGCACCTCCACTGTGGGGACGGTCCCATCTTCATCGGTGACGGGCGAACCTATGGAGACCTCACCCGTGATTCACCTGGTGACAGATGCCAAGGGCACTGTCATCCACGAAGTCCACGTCCAGATGCAAGAGCTTCCCCTGGGCATGAAAACCCTGGCCTCAGAGGTGCGGGCCGGCCGGGGGGAGTGGCCTCTGTCCGCCCAGTGCCAGGCTCTGTTCTGGTCACTGGCTCCAGTGGGAGCAGGACTGACCTGGTCCGCCTTCCTGGTGCTCAGTCTGGTGGCAGGGGAGGTGGGATGCCAGTGGCACGCCACGGGGTGGCGAGGGACGGGGAGCTGGGGGGGAGGGGGAGAGTGAGGGCGGGGAGAGTGGGCTGTGGGGTTCCCCGAAGCATTCCTCTGGGTGTGCACGGTGCCCCCCCAGGCCCCGTGGGGCCTGCCCTGTGCAGTGGGTACAAGTGGGTGCCACGTGCCAGGCTGCCTGGCCAGCTTCCCTCCCTCTGCCTGCCCACAGCCCCCGGACCGTGAGGAGCTTCCCTGTTCCAGCGAGGGTGGCCGTGAGAACCTGCTACACCAAGCCATGCAGAACTCCGGCATTGTCCTTGAGCGTGTCACCGGCGAGGAGGGGGCCCTGGAGCCAGCCCCTCCTGCCGCACCCAGTCCCCAGACCCTGGGAGATGGTCCCCCAGAGCTGCCACTGCTGGAGGTGGAACCCGTGGAGACAGTAGGTGCCTGCGCTGCGGCGTGCTCCTTCAAGGGGGGCTGGACCTCGGCTACAAGGGCACCACCCCAGCCTGGCAGCCATCCTCCCTGCTGTGCTCCCTGTTTACTGCCTTCTCGGGGCTCACGATGGAGCTTGCGGGGTGGGGGGTGCCATGGGTCTGTTCTTGGGACTGCTGGGGTCCAGCCCGCAGTAGGTGCTGGAGGCGTGCTGTGCCCCTCCCCCCCCCCAGCAGGTGGCCAGTGGTGCCTCCGCTGTGCCCAGGACCCACCCGTGCCCTCAGTGCAGTGAGACCTTCCCGACAGTGGCCACCCTGGAGGCCCACAAAAGGGGCCATGCAGGTGGGTGGCGGGGGAGGGTGGGGGGTGGGGCACCGGGCAGCAGAAGGCCGGGATGGGCCTTGGGTGTGCGGTGGGCGGCTAGGTTGGTCCCTGGGTGGGCAGCAGGCAGGGGGCCCTCGAGGGGTGGACCCGGCCTGACCTCGTGTGCGGCCCCAGGGCCAAGGCCGTTCACATGCGTGCAGTGCGGCAAGGCCTTCCCCAAGGCCTACCTGCTCAAGAAGCATCAGGAGGTGCACGTGCACGAGCGCCGCTTCCGCTGTGGAGACTGCGGGAAGCTCTACAAGACCATCGCCCACGTCCGTGGCCATCGGCGCGTCCACTCCGATGAGCGGCCCTACCCGTGTCCCGAGTGTGGCAAGTGCTACAAGACCAAGGTGGGCCCTCAGGCCCTGGACCCTGGCATCTGACCCCCGCCCCCCAATCCACCGGCTCCCCTGCCCCAGGCCAGATCCACGCCATGTTCCCTGCCTCCCAGCCGCTGCCCTCCCCCCGCCCCCAGTCTCTCCTGACCACGAGGGCCCTCACCCCTCCTGCCTGGCCCCTGGGCCCTTTCCCTTGGCCCACGGGGGGCAAGAGAGTGCGGGCTGAGCCGTGGCCGAGGCCAGGTGGACGCTGATGGTGGGGCCCCACAGAATGCCCAGCAGGTGCACTTCCGGACACACCTAGAGGAGAAGCCGCACGTGTGCCCGTTTTGCAGCCGAGGCTTCCGGGAGAAGGGCTCCCTGGTGCGGCACGTGCGGCACCACACGGGTGAGAAGCCCTTCAAGTGTTACAGGTGCGGCCGCGGCTTCGCAGAGCACGGCACGCTCAACCGGCACCTGCGCACCAAAGGTCAGGGCCACGGGCAGCGGGGGGGGGGGGGGGGGGGGGGGGGGGGCCGGGAAGTCGCCCCGCTGATTGAGCCCCGCCCACAGGGGGCTGCCTGCTGGAGGTGGAGGAGTTGCTGGTGTCCGAGGAGAGTCCCACGGCAGCCGCCACCGTACTCACCGAGGACCCGCACACGGTGCTGGTAGAGTTCTCGTCCGTCGTGGCCGACACCCAGGAGTACATCATCGAGGTGGGTGCGGGGCCGTTGGGGCTGGGCGGGCCTCGGAGCGGCCAGGCTGACCTCTGACCCCCGCCCAGGCCACTGCGGATGACGCGGAGACTAGCGAAGCCGCAGAGATCATTGAGGGCCCCCAGACGGAGGTGAGGGGCCGGAGGAGGGCTGGGGGGCGGAGGGGCGGCCTGGTGCCCTCCCTGCAGCCGCCGGCTGAGCCGCGAGCTGCCCGCCGCCCGCAGGTGGACAGCCGCATCATGAAGGTGGTGCAGCAGATCGTGCACCAGGCCGGCGCCGGGCACCAGATCATCGTGCAGAACGTGACCGTGGACCAGGACGCGGGGCTGGGCCCAGAGGCGGCCTCGGCCGACACCATCACCATCGCTACGCCGGAGAGCCTGACGGAGCAGGTGGCCATGACGCTGGCCTCGGCCATCAGCGAGGGCACCGTACTCACGGCCCGTGCGGGCGCAAACGGCGCCGAGCAGGCCACTGTGACCATGGTTTCATCGGAGGACATTGAAATCCTGGAGCACGCAGGCGAGCTGGTCATCGCCTCACCGGAGGGCCAGCTCGAGGTGCAGACGGTCATCGTCTAGCCTGGCTGTCCGCAGGCTCCCGGGGCGGGGCTGGGCAGGGGCGAGGACCCACAGAAGAGGGAACACAGAATGCAGGTGTTCAGAGGGGGTGTGCGAGTGTAAATAGTTTTCTGTTGCTTTACAATAAAACATGAAAACCCACTACTTGTGATGCCACTGCCCCGGCAGGTTCTCCTGTGGCGGCCCCCTGCCTGCCCGCCCGCCCCCCGCACCGCCTCCTGCCCAGGGGCCCCCCAGCCCCTGCCGGGCTCCCTTGCAGACTCGTGTGCCTCCCGCTCAGGCTGGCGGCACCGTGGCGGTGTGTGGGCGTCCCTGGCATGTGGACAGGCAGCTTGCTGCTGCCGCCCTGCCCTGCCCAGTTGGAGTCGTGACCCCAGCTTCCCCAGCCCCACGGAGGCGGGTGGGAGGGGGCGCTGCTTCACGGCCTCCAACCCTGGGGCTGTCCGGGGAGGGGGGAGGGCAGGGCACCCAGGCTGGGAGGGGACAACGGAGCAGCAGCGGGAGAGCTGCCGGGAAGATCTTTACTGAATGCACAGCCTGCCTTTTCTCAGGGGGCACCCCTGACGGAGGGAGATTCTGGATGACCTAGTTTGGGAGGGTGGGGGTGTGAGGACAAGAACAAGGCCTGGACCTTGGGTGGCTGACCCTTTCGTCCAGTCCTGACACAGTTTTGGGGGGGCTGGCAGGGTCATAGGAGCCCTGGTTCTGATGGTCTTGGTGCGGGAGCAAGCTCAGGGTGGATGCCTCTGCCACCTTGCCCCCAGGGCTCTCCCTGGGAACCGGAACCAGCAGTTCCAGCGTCCATCTCCCCAGAGGGGGTGGGGCCGGAGCAGTCCAGCCCCTCCCTGGACAAGGGCCTCAAATACCCTCCTGGGCCCTCGCGCCACAGCTGCTGTGGCCAAACTCGGGGAGCCGGTCTTGTGCCACAGACACACCCCCAGCCTGGATCTCCAACCTCAGTCCTGAGCCTCAGATACCGCCCCATCCACATCCCAGGTGAGTCCGGGGACCGGGCTGACCAGGGGCCTGGATGGGGATGGGGTCCCTCTATTTGGGCCTCAGTTTCCCCAAGGAGTAGAATGGCCGCGGTAAGCCTAGTGCACCATTGGGGAGACGTGGAGACGCAGGGAAGGATGCGCCTTGGACCTCCCAATCAATGGTCCCTGCCCGGCCCCTGGGGCTGGGACCGGAGAGGGGTGGCTCGTTGTGTCTGACGCCAGGTCCGCGCTCAGGAGCGTGTCTGTCCCTCCCAGCCCGCCCGCTCTGCGCCATGGGTGGGCCCCGGGTCCTGCTGGCCGCGCTATGGGCCCTGGGGGCCGCTGGAGCCGCGGCGCTGCGCATCGGCGCCTTCAACATCCAGAGCTTTGGCGACAGTAAAGTGTTGGACCCGGCCTGCGGCGGCGTCATTGCGCAAGTAAGGCCGGGGACCGGGGGCGGGGCCGCAGCTGGGCTTCCCGGGTGAATCCGCCGCGCGCGTGACCCCGCACCTGCCGGCCCCTCCCCCAGATCTTGGCTGGCTATGACATCTCGCTGGTGCAGGAGGTTCGAGACCCGGACCTGAGCGCCGTGTCCGCGCTCATGGAGCAGATCAACAGGTGCGGGGAGGGGGCGTGGGACAGGGCCCAGCCTTCGGAATCCAGGCCCGGATCGCGGGGCTTGGTCCCGTGCCTTGACCCCGGGCCTGGCCGGTGTCTCCGCAGCTTGTCCAGGCACGAGTACAGCTTCGTGAGCAGCGAGCCCCTAGGTCGGGACCAGTACAAGGAAATGTACCTGTTCGTCTATAGGTGAGGGGCGGGGCCGCGGGGCTCGGGCGCGCGGGGCGGGATGGGGCCTGCTCAGCGCGCCCGCCCGCTTCCTTCCCCCAGGAAGGACGCGGTGTCGGTCGTGGACACGTACCAGTACCCGGACCCGGAGGACGCTTTCAGCCGTGAACCTTTCGTGGTCAAGTTCTCGGCCCCCCGCTCGGGTGAGGCACCCCCCCTCCCGCGGGC